GTGGCTCGTGTGTCTGTAACTTATACCTCATTCACACCAACGATGTTTCAGGGCCGGTTCGGAGCTGGAGCTTGAAAAGCACCGGGTTTTCCTGTTCACACCGCAGCGAGCAGCCTCTTAGCTCCGGAATCCGGTCCGTTTCAAGCACCAACATTTTTTCCGGCTGTAGCAAAAGCACCGCATACGTCACGCTTACGTCGAGGCAGGGGCAGGGGCCGGGGCCGGATCAACTCCTGAACAACAACAAAAAGCCGGCGTTTTATCCAGTTTCTACACAAGGATGGAGAAACTTAACAAGCAGCAGTGGTCCACTGAAGAGACCAGCTACCTACTGGGTTACACAAGCCAAAAAATCGTTATGACATCATAAAGTGGCCAAAATCTGATCAGCTCATTTTCAGACAGGTTTTTATATAAATGGATCAGGACAAAAAGAGAGCGAATCTTTTTTCCTGAAACTTTCAGAATCTCTTTACACAGAGGGGACACATGATTATGTATAAAAGACATGAAAAATAAGTGGATTTTGTATAATAGGTGACCTTTAAGGCAAGTCAAGTAACTATTATGACCTTATAAATGAAAGAGATTGCACTTAGGCCTTGAATCAGTGCTCTTTTTTTACAACATGTACACCGCACTGGATACGAGTTCAGTGCTCTTGGTTGATGTGCCTAGTTTCCCCTGCAGAGGGCGTAGCAGGACTGGATAAGTGAAGTTATAACTGACTGGCGAGCGAACTGGCAGCTGAATGCAGAGTGTTTCTTATACTTAGACAGCACATAAAATATAACGTTTTTAGGATGTTAATAAATATTTGAGCAACACAATTTTTTCCTTAACTGTGTTTTTTACTCTGTGGTTTATGTGTCTGCTACAAGTTATTGGAACAATTATTCACAAGAAGTCCTTTTTTAAAGTCAGTTTGATTTGGATGTAATGATGCTCTCTAACCTGTTGATGCTATGGCTCTAATATTTGTGCTCTGGTGGGTTTCTGTTGGCATCTTTCATATCTTTCCACTGGCATATCATTTATATAAACATTTGAATACCTTAAGAAAGCAAGCACATTCTCAGACTTTCTGAATGGCTTTTGCAGCGGTAGTATTTCATCTTTTAATACCGTAGATGTTGTAGCGGCACTCGTCTCTATGACGTTATCAAGCATTTGCCCGCAGCTACCAGAGTACTGGGAAAAGCTCTGAAGAATGTTAATGTGAATGTGACTTCCATTTCTATTGCTTTTCTGTTCATTGCTTACTCTGGCTGAGCACAGGGAGAGACGGCGGCCTGAGACTTTCTTTCCAACCTTTCTTACCGGGTGGCTGTGGAACATGCTGTGCAAAATGAATCCTGCCTTATGGCTAACAACTCAGTTATATTTTATAAGGAGACCGCAATCTCTTTAAAGCAAACACGTGAAATAATTGTTGGTTCCTATTAGGATTTGATGTTTCGAGGTCATCAAGGCAAGGCACGTTTATTTATATAGCACCTTTCAACACAAGGCAGTTTACACAAATGAAAGACATTCAGACAAAGGCATTTAAAAACAGTCATTAAAAAGAAAAGATAATAAAAGAAACATTAAAAGAAAAAAAAGAATAAATGAATAAAAAGTACATGAATAAAATGTTACAGTGCAGTTTAAGATATGAATAGTTCACACAGAAGTTCCACTTTACTGATGAACACAACAGCTCAGTTTCAATTAAAAGCAGCAACAAAAAGAAAAGTCTTCAGCCTGGATTTAAAAGTAGTAAGAGTTTTAGCGGACCTGCAGGTTTCTGGGAGTTTGTTCCAGATATTTGGAGCATAATAACTGAACGCTGCTCTACCATGTTTAGTTCTGACTCTGGGGACAGAAAGCTGACCCGTCCCTGAAGACCTGAGAGATCTGGATGGTTCATAATTTAGCAGGAGGTCAGAAATGTATTTTGGGCCTAAACCATTCAGTGCTTTATAAACAGCAGCAGTATTTTGAAATCTATTCTTTGACACACAGGAAGCCAGTGTAAAGACTTCAGAACAGGAGTGATGTGATCCACTTTCTTAGTGTTAGTGAGGACTCGAGCAGCAGCGTTCTGAATCAGCTGCAGCTTTTTAATTAACATAATGACTTTGGGTTTGGACTTTTTGTTACGTGAAACAAGCAATTTGAATACTTGGCCTAATAACAAAAATCTAACAAGAAAGATCGGGCTGATGATTTAATAATTTGAGGTCCATTTTCAAGCAGGAATGTTCAACTATTGGTCCTTTTCTTGGTGTTACGCTTTAGTACATTGCATATCTTAGAATTTATGACTGTTGGTCGGACAAAAAGACATGTATTGCCTTGTACTGAACACTATTGCGATTGGTATTTTATTGTCTTTTTACATTTTCTAGACCATTAGAGAATATTCTTTCACACGTTGCAGTCCCAGAGCTTAATGTGCTTTACTTTTCTTTTCCCCTTATTCTAGCTTTTTTTTAAATGTACGTGTTCCTTTTTAAACCAGCGGTTCATTGACACAGCAACTCTAGATTTGATGTTTTTGCAGTTGGTCCACCGCTGGCAGCCAGCAGCAAGCTGAAAAGGTTTTGGGAACACAAAAGCAAGTCACTTTTTGACAATGAAGTTAGGTAAAAACATGTTGGCACCCATTGTGTTTCTCCTGAGGGCCAGTGCCGGGCTCCGACCTGGCCTGCGTTTAAAGAGCATTGCTTTAGAGGCCTTCTGTTTATCCAGCTTCAGACAGCAGCAGATTCTGACACCCAGCCAGGGATGTCACAATGATTCATGGCCCTTTCCGACAACTCGCTCACGCCTTTACTCTTCTTAATCTCCTTGCGCTCTTTCCCTTCCTCTACCTTTCTCTCTCTCTAATGATGAGTTTTCCTTTTGTTTGAGAAGGGCAGAAATGATGTCATCATTTAAAGAGGCCTCGTCCTTTAGCTTTACGGACTGCGTTGTATGTTTCATGATGAATAACCTTCCTTGGGGATTCACCTCTGTCCTGTGCTGTGGAGAAAAGACAGAAGTGTAAAACAGAAGACGCCTGAGAGAGAAAGTCTGCCTGCCTCTTTTGGCTTGTTTCAAACAATTGTATTATCGTCCCTTTACTCATCCCATCACTCTCCCCCTCTCTCAAACAAGCCGTATCCTCCCTCTGGGTTTCTTTCACCCCATATATCTGCCTCTCCTCCCTTTGTCTGTGTCAATTTGTGATTGAGAGGCCAAAGCAGCTCTAATCGCTGACTT